TTTAATGATAACAACCAACGATAAATTTCCTTCCCTGATAATCTCATCGTCCGGACAGGTAATGTGGAAATACAGAGACATAAAGAGTGTAATGAAAACAAACTTGGACGAGAAGGAGAGTCACAAACGTCCAGGTCGCTTTTCTCATGGTATTAACCCCCCCCCCTTACCCTGAGGCCAGATAACACCCTCACTTAATACTCTCTATCAGAAGGGTCAGTATCGCCTGCACTCTGATGCCTCAGCTGATTAACGTGAAGGTAACAAAACTTTAAGAGAATTTAAAGTGTTATTACACCAACTTTAACTTTCCATCATTTCCCTGACAGGGCAAAAGCAGCAGCAGCCATGAAGGGGGTAAAGGCAGGGGCAGGGGTTGGGGCAGGGGCTGGGGGAGAGTGAGAGGGTGTGGCCAGGGGTGGATTTGGGGAGAGGGGATGTGGCCAGAGGTACATTATGAGGGAGGGGGTGTGGCCATGGGTAGATTTTGAGGGAGGTGTTGTACTATCTCTCAATAGCATCACTAGCACCCTAAGAACACGTGTTTATCCTTTTATCCTCTCTCTCTCTCTCTCTCTCTCTCTCTCTCTCTCTCTCTCTCTCTGTCCTTTCTGTTTTTTATCAGTTCTCTTGTACCCCTTTCCCCCTTCCTCCTCCCCTCACCCCCCCCATCCTGCCTTCACCATACCCCTCATCCTCACCACACCCCCTCATCCTGCATACACTGCCCACCCCTCATCCTGCCCCTCCCCACACCCCTCATCCTGCCCCTCACCCACACCCCTCATCACTGCCCTCACTCACCACCCCTCATCCTGCCCTCCCACCACCCCTCCACCCCTCATCCTGCCCTCACCACACCCCTCATCCTGCCCTCACCCACACCCCTCATACTGCCCTCACCACACCCCTCATCCTGCCCTCCCACCACACCCCTCATCCTGCCCTCACCCACCCCTCATCCTGCCCTCCCACCCACACCTTCATCCTCACCCTCCCACCCCCTCCATCCTGCCCTCACCACACCCCTCATCCTGCCCTCATCACACCCCTCATTCACACCTCCTCGTATTTCTTGCCAAACAACGTAAATTGGGTTCTGGTGAAGGGTACTTAGTCTCCTCTCTAAAACATCACAAGTTAAGAAATAATATTATATGGAATTCACTGCGTCTTGGTAAAATATTCACTGAAGCCTTCATATAATGGACTCCTCTATATATAATCCGTTAGGTGTGTGTGTGTGTGCGTGCTGACAAGACCACGGGTATGAGTATAATCCTTCACTCCAACGCACACCGCCTCTGGTAAGCGTTGGAGTGAAGGATCGGACTCTACTCACCCACCACACACACACACACACACACACACACACACACACACCCACACACACACACACACACACACACACACACACACACACACACACATACACACACACACACACACACACACACACACACACACACACACACACACACACACACACACACACACACACCACACACACACACACACACACACACACACACACACACACACACACACACACACACACACACACACACACACACACACACACACCCCACACACACACACACACACACACACACACACACACACACACACACACACACACACACACACACACACACACACACACACACACACACACACACACACACACACACACACACACACACACACACACACACACCATAACACCCACCTTGTGCTGAACCATCCCACACATAACCTTAGCGCCGGCGGTGATGGTGGTGGAGTCAGTGTATACAAGAAGCAAGACCTGTCCCTTCCCTCTCTCCACGACGGCGGAACCTTTATTTGGTTTTATACAACAGCTGAATGTATGTCGGGCGGAAACGATGGCAACAGAGTCAGAAAGGGGAGAGAAGGCGACCCTCATGATTTTAGTCAATAAAGTGAACCCGTTTACATATATTAGAGGTAACATAATAAATAGTGTTTTATTTCTATCTCAGGTAATGTGCTGGTCATAACACAGGCTATTATATTAAAGTTAATCTCGAAGTAAATATCAAGATCAAAGGGAAGTTTTATTATGTGTGTGAAGAGATTTTTTTTCCTTTGAGGGATTTATGTTCATAGTTTTATCTGTGTTAGTTGTTTATATGTGATAAGACAGACAGACAGACAGACACACACACACACACACACACACACACACACACACCTGGACAATAGTGAGAGAAAACAGCTGTTCCTTCCAGATTAATCAGCAAACTTTAAAACCATTCATTCCAAAGTTTAATTTCTAATATTATTCTCCCGCGTCGTTCAATTTCCTGCTCGCGTTTTGGGTAAGATTTTTTTTTTTTCATATTAAAATGATTCCTGATATATACAGTAGAGTTATCGACACAACATATAAGCACATACTTATATACATACATACATACGTACATGCATACTTAGGTTAGGTTAGGTTAGGTTCTTTACAAGTCATAGCTTCCATTTCAGCAGACGTACGGTACATCTAGCGGACACATGAAAAGCTTACTGAGAGACGCTGTAAAGGAGAGGAGTGAGAGTTGTTCAGCAGGGCGGAGTTAACCTCGGAGGAAGGAGTCAAACACACACACGTCACAGGCTGTCATACTCGTAGCCTCAGTTTTGGTTGACCAGACATCAAAGTGGTCATCGTCTCTATTCCCTAGATCACACACACACACACACACACACGGACGAACGGTGGGTTAGGTCATGTCGGGTTAAATAATGGATGTGAGGGCTCTAGTCAGGTGCTGGAGTGAGATATTGTGGAACAGTTGCTGGTGTGTGTCTTGGGTTAACACAGGTGTATGTATATATGTGTGTGTCTGTGTATATATGTATGTGTGTGTGTGTGTGTGTGTGTATGTGTGTGTGTGTGTGTGTGTGTGTGTGTGTGTGTGTGTGTGTGTGTGTGTGTGTGTGAATTAAATTATTTTTATTAACCCTGAATACCAAGTTTCAAAATTGCCTCGAAGTGACTCAACAAAAGAGCCCAAAAATAAGAGAAAAAAAAGAGGGGGGGGGGGCAGTTATTTTTCATGATCCTCTTTTGTTGGTAACTATGAGAGGGGGAGAGTAATCCGCCTCCCCACCCGCTTTGTCCGCCCCACTCCCGCTAAATGCTCCACTTTTTTCTTTGCCTTTTTATGACTTTTGTTGTATTTTTCTACCTTTTTTATTCTCGCGGCTCAACACATGAAACATTAGCCTCTGAGAATTCCAGTGTTCTGTGTTTTTTGGTTTCTCTTCTAAATCTCTCTTCTCTCTCTTTCTCTTCTCTTTCTTTTATCTTATCTCTCTCTCTTCCTCTCACTTTCTCTCCTTTGTCATACACCAACCAACAATTAAAAAAAAAAACCTTACACCCTCACTTGAAAAAAAAAAGTTACAATCAGTAAGGTTGACAAAAACAAAAGTGTACTGGATTAACTAACATACCTAAACACACCTTCTCAAACACCTTCACTCACTGTGGTATTATCTGACGTGAAAAAAAAATATTAATCCCAGAAAAAAACAGAAAAAAATCTAAATCGTGGAGAGTAACCAACGTAAACATGACAGTACTGTGTTCATTATTATTATTATTTATTTATTTTATATATCAACGTCTCATCACTTAACACTGTATTGTAACTCTGTGTCAAGGTTTGTTACGATCAACCTGTATAAACAGTTATTCTTCCATCTCTGACCAACATCATCCTTTAATAATACAAACAGACTTTATTATTCCCCGACGTAGAATATGAAAGATGGGTGGGTGGGGGTATATAGGGTTACTCGCGTCTGTCTGTTTAATTAATAAAGAACAGCTTATAAGGGTGTGGGGATGGACTGTTATTGACGCAGCTGTGTATAGTAAATATCTAGTTTGAGTTCGATGATTGATTTGCCTGGGTATAAGACGCCATGTTGAGAGAGGAACCTTATAGCCAGGATCAACAACACCTTCTGTGGGAGTTTTCTTGTTGTTTTATTTATTTTTTATCAATCAACTTAACCTTTCCTTCAGATTTTTCTTTACATTTAGATAAGAGTCTTGTTTTACCTTTTATTTCCATTCTTTGTCAGTGTCTTAATGAATGAATTAAGAAACATGTGACAATAAGTAGTAGTCAGGAGCCTTTCAAGAGAACTACAGGAAGCGAAAGGTTGAATCATGTTATTTTATTATTGTTTTTCTGGTTAGGTTAAGTTAGGTTAGATATCCTTATTATTCTGGCTAGACAAACTATTTCAATTTTAACCTCTTTTTATTTTTTTACAGTTAATATATCTATTGAAATGTGATACCGTCCTATACCATCTGTTAGTAATTCTTCTTGTGTTATTCTTTCCTCTATTGTCTCTCTCTCTCACCATAATTTCCCCTCCTACACCGTCACTGATAACATTACACAACTAAACCAAGGTAACACCTGCCAGCCTGACCCCTCGCTTTGATCGTAACGAATCACTTTAAGTCTCTCCATCACTACCAACACTTTCTACACTATTTTAAGACGAATCTTTTACCGCCAGTAATGACTTTTTGGTTCATTGCAGCTCACTTACACACACACACACACACACCTCCCATCACCCCCTCCAAGAAATTCATAAATTTACGTGTTGGATTTTATATTGTATGATTGTAGTGTTTATGGTATGTGAGTGTATGTGTGTTTTTATGGTAACTATATGTACACACTGTGACAGGAGGGATATACAGTATACTGTATATGTGTTGTAACATTCGCTGTTCGTGAATCAGTACACGTCATAGTGAGTAATGGTTTCCTGCTGTCCGACTATTTGAGTTGAGGATAGTCACGTGTGCGTTTATTTACATCAACATGTGCGTTTGTATATGCGTGAGACAGGCGTGCGTGTGTGCATGCGTGCGTGTAGGTGTGCGCGGGGTGGGTGATGGTGGTCTCGGGTATTGACTCGCTGCTGCCTCACTCTCGCGGCCGCCTCCACCCACACCAGACCTCCCCTCTCCGCCACCACCACTACCAACCACCAACCACCACCACTACCATGGCCACCAACGGCGCCGCTACCAACAGTTCCTCCTCCTCCGCCTCCTCCAACAGCGGGCAACCCTCGACAGAGCCACAACTTCAGCAGACAGGGCCAGGCATGAACGCCATCGTCCAAGTGTTCCCCCCTATCGTGGAGTTGAACGTGGGTGGCGTCTTCTACACAACTGCCCTGACCACCCTCCAGCGGGAACCGGACAGTTTGCTTGGCCAAATGTTCAGTGGTAAGACGAAGACCCCGGTGTTGAGGGACTCCAAGGGGAAGTTTTTCATAGATCGTGACGGTGTGCTCTTCCGGTACATACTCGACTTCTTACGGAACCAGAAGCTCGTGTTACCTGAGAACTTTAGTGAGCGGGAAAGACTTAAGAAAGAGGCAGACTTCTTCCAGTTGCAAGACATGATAGACTCGCTCACGCTCCCCAAATCGCTGAGTCCCGTCGATCCGGCCTACTCTGTCCGGACCTCCGTCGGTACTATTACCGTCAGTTACCGCGGGACTTTTGCATTTGGACGTGACGGACTCGCTGACGTCAAATTTCGTAAGCTGAGTCGTATCCTCGTGTGCGGGCGAGTGACACTTTGTCGTGAAGTCTTTGGTGAAACGCTGAATGAGTCCCGAGACCCAGACCGTGGAGCTACAGACCGCTATACCGCTCGCTTCTTCTTGAAGCACACCTTCCTGGAACAAGCCTTTGACATGCTGGTTCTGGCAGGCTATAAGTGCTGCGGCTCCTGCGGCTCCAGCACTGCAGGCGGCATCATGGTCGACAAGAAACCAGGTATGGACAATGAAGAAGACCGATGGAACCATTACAATGAATTCGTGTGGGTGAGAGAATAATGGGCCGCGGGGGTTAGTGAGACGGTCGCTGCCCAAACCAGGCCGTTCTTAACAGTCAGCAAATCTTTATTCTGACGACCCCCAGTATTGACAGGCTACCAAACAGGGTGGTAGAAGCGTCCTACTCACGACTCGTACGACCACCGCAGCTTCATCACACAGTGTGTTGTCGCGTCACCCAGTGTTGACGACCTCAAGTGAGAATTATTATAGTCCACACCTGTTGTGTTAACCACGCCAGAAAAATAATTACATGATCGTTTGCTTCTCTGGTGGAACTACAAAATTATTTAGGGAGCAAATGAATAAGACAAAAGCTGTAATAAGAATCGCTACTCCCTGTGTTACCAAGAGTCCCAAGTTTCTGATGTGCGAGTGTGTGTGTCAGAGTGATAATGTATAGACTTCAACTTCTGAATCACAGCCGAGAAAGATCAAGGTTTTGGCAGCTGCAGAAGTGTACTGTTAGTTTGTTTTATTGAGCAACAAGCGTGTTTAATTTGCTGAACGGGATTTATGAGTGAAAATATATATACATATATTTTATACTTTGGTCAGTAAAACAATAGCAAAACCCTTTGTTTTGTATTGTGTAAATTGATTGAAGTGTTGGTGCATAATAATTACACTGTTTTGTTGTTTGAAGATGAGATTTATGGCGAGATGAAGTGAATTTATCTATTTTCTCGTGTTCTCCGGAGAGATGGGCAGTGCAAAGAAAAATATAATATAAATAACTGTGTAATGGTAATAAGTGAGTGAGTATAATGATTATTGCCATTTTTTTCAATTGAAAGTGTTGTGTTGTGTTACAGATCTGCATAATACTGAAAATTCTACATTTAATTGACAGTTCTAAAAAAAGAACATTTTTAGCCCTCCAATCACAGCCTTTGAGTAATCCTTTATAGAAAATCCTGTTTTTTCTCCACTTATGTACGGCACAGCTTCCTCATGTCGTAATGTTTCTCAGAAATATACCAATCAAAAGAGAGCTGTCCAGAGGCATGTGTGTTTGCCTATGTAATATTTGTTCATATATATACTGTACGTGTGTGTGTGTGTGTGTGTGTGTGTGTGTGTGTGTGTATGTGCGTTGTTTTCCCCCACAAGTTCCACTCAGGGAGCACCGGACCCCTTGTGTTCCCGAATATCCGATCCAGAACTCGCCTGCGGGTCTTCCCTTATCGATGATCTCGAGACTACGGGAACTTTAGTGTGCGAGAAACTGACTAACGACATAATCATGGGATAATCTTCAGCCTGAGGAATATCCCCCCCATCTCTCTCTCATGATCAAGATTTGATTATATCGAATAACAACAAAATCATTAGAATTCTCTCCAAATATGAGCCTATTTAGTATGTGTGCATGTCACTTAAACACAAAGTAAATAAGGCATACGACACTTAAGTGAAATCATAGAAGGTACATATCTAAGTCTTATCTCACTGATACACATTTATTAAGAAACAAAAATTATGAATTTGAGGCAAAAGAAGCAACACATTTGACGAGTAAATCATGATATTGTTTTGTCTTCAGCTTTATCCGCCCATGAGCGACTCCCAGCTGCCAGTAGACCAAGTGGTTAGTCCGGGCCCCACGTGGTTCATGAACCTTCAATACTTGAAGTCATAAACCACCAACTGCGCTGATTACTCGTATTTGTGATGTGTCTCAGCCTCGGTGTGCAAATAAGTATTAGATCACCAGTATTAAACGATTGTAATGGAAAAAAAATGCATTTACTTGGACCAAAGAATATGGTTGTCACTTGTAATTAGTAGAAGATATAATATTATGACTGTGAGAAAGATAATTAGGGTTTTAACTCAAAGAAAAACTTTAAATGGCATGGCTATAAAATCTATCTACTTGACTCCACAGAAGATGGGTTTGTCGAGACTTTTCTTAAACGTGCTGTAGGTAGTCCCTCTTCTTGCACTCTCGCCCGTGCTGAACCTGAGGAAGCATAAGGGATTTATCTGAATCCAGCGGACCACCAGGATTAATAGCTCGTAAGTTTTTAGCTCGTTCGGGTTGCGGTACGTACTCGTTCGGGTATATAGCGAATTTAGGCACTCGCTCGGGTAGCAGTAGGCGCCGTAGATGACTATTTCTCTCCCTGTGTTTTTTGAGCGCTTTTGGTACCTTATGTAGGAGAAGCGACAGTATGTGAGTGAACCGCTTTTGTCATCATCACCTACACGTCACACCCCTTCGTCTCCCGTCTGTGTCCTCAGTCATGCCAGAACAACAACAAAACCTCCCGTTGCTCCTATACACGGCGGCCTTGGATATACACAACTACTGTTACTGTTCCTGTTGCTCCTGTTTCGTTATTACTGTTACTGTGAGCACTTAACCCCCTTCTCACCCTGGGAAGGAAACGTTTCTAACCAATCTTCTTTATACTCAATTATGTCCGTCTCTCACAACAGTATTCTTATCGGCTCGTGAGGACACAAAACCCTCCGCTGTTATCGTAAGTTTAAAAATTAATTCCCTAAAGTGAATTTGATATAACGAGCACAATGATAGTAATTATTACCACTTACCAGCATACGATCAAGTAATATCATTAAATATATGTTTATCTCCAAAGAACTATGAAATAAAACGTCATTTGGGTTTTTTTCTCATAAGGATGGAAGTAGACGACGAGGTGTAAGGGTTATGGCGGCCGTTCAGGTATCTCCTCCACCACGTTCCTGCCCGATAATGGTCTTGGTGATTGTGTCGCTCCCTGGCACGACAAATCCTTTCTTTCTTCATTAAGGGAACGACGCGGCGCTCTGTTGTTCGCTGGGGCTTTATTTATTTGTTTATCTTTTTTAATGAAGTGACTTAGGTTATGGTGTTGGTGGCTGAGGCTGCCTGGGTGTTTGTTTTTCTCAGTAAGATAATGTTGCCTTTAACGTTAGATCAAACTAGAGACACAGCGTTATGTTGTTATAACTCTTGAAATGGTGCGAAAAGGAATGAGTTTTCTGGCTCGTTCTACGTGTTGTCTTAACATGTGAACAGCAGTCGATGAAAGACATATTTTTGTTGTCTTATTGTTCTCGTGCGCAAAAGTTATCTGATTACGCAACTTTTAATAAGAAATTCTATGAATTTTTTAGCGTTTTCACTCACAGGCTGTAACTTCTCTCACAGGCTGTAACTTCTCTGATATATATATATATATATATATATATATATATATATATATATATATATATATATATATATATATATATATATATATATATATATATATATATATATATATATATATATATATATATATATATATATATATATATATATATATATATATATTTCATGTAAATCCACAATGAAAACGTGATAAGATAAATCTTGATAATCACAGGGAACAACATTCTTAGCTTTCGTCTTTTTCAAGACATCTTCAGAGGCAACTGAACATGTCGTGAATAAAGACGAAAGCTAAGGTGCTCCGTTGTTTCCCTTTTCCCCGTGTGATTTTATCAATATATATATATATATATATATATATATATATATATATATATATATATATATATATATATATATATATATATATATATATATATATATATATATATATATATACTTTTAATCCTAATACATATTTCATTGACAACGACTCTCATATCTGCATAACGTAAATTTATTAAAGTAAGTTAGTATATATATATATATATATATATATATATATATATATATATATATATATATATATATATATATATATATATATATATATATATATATATATATATATATATATTCCTCTTTTCGAGTTACTTTACCAGTAACAATTAAAAGTATTCAAAGCACTACATACAGCTTATCAATATGCCTAGTGCAGTAGGTAGTGTGTATTAGACCTCGATGTTCGCCGCAGTCGGCTACTGGAGACAGAGTCAAAGATTTACACATGTTTAATATTCTCTCCCTTGTACAAGATGTGTCACTCTCAGTGCTGCTTCTTATCTTCCTCATTACACAGTTTTACATTTTAAACAACTTTATGTATAATTGAATCACAGAAGCCTTGGGCACGCACGCACGCTGAGTTCAGTATTATTAGTAGACTTGTGATTGTAGGACTTTAAGTGGACTGTACACGTGTGATCACACTCACTCAAACAACCATCACCTTTTTACCAGCAAACTGTAGTTCCAGCAGGTTGCTGTCAACTGCAGTTTAACTGAGTAACTTCGTCGACTGAGTTGTCAAATGCTTCGCTGATTGGCTGTTAGTCAGGTATTGATTCTTACCCTGAATCATGATTGGCCATTGATCCTAAGTTAACGTCTCTTCACAGTTTATACAAGTTTTCAATACGTAGCGACTCCTCGCCTCCTCCTAACAATAGTTTACGTAACAAGAGCAACTTTCTGTTGACCTGTTGCAAGAAGATGTATGGAGACTGAGTAATATCCTGTCAACGTTTACTCCACGACCAGCGGTACAGTGACAGACCCACCTACAGTAGATCACAACCACCAACTCATACAACTCACAGGCTGGGGGTCTTACTACCTCTACAAGGAGGCTGATATCGACCAAACGAACATCTAAGATTTAAAATAAGTACAGTATTTGATAACAAGAGCTGGTGGCAGGGAAATATTTGACCAGAGCTGGTGGCAGGGAAATATTTGACCAGAGCTGGTGGCAGGGAAATATTTGACAATATGAGCTGGTGGCAGGAAAATACTTGACAACTAGAACTGGTGGCAGGGATATATTTGACAACATGAGCTGGTGGCAGGGAAGCATTTGACAACTTTGGTCCAACAGGTTTTGATGATGACCACTGGTGGTCCTGGTCACATTTTGGGCTTCAAGTTAGAGCCTCTGCTTTGTATATACTGCAAGTGATATGCTGGTGCAGACAGAGTGAGACATGAGTGATGTCATTATTTACTTATTTACTCTAGACTGATGTAAGTGTAAGAGTGAATTAGTGTGACAAAACTATTAACAAAGTTTGAATTTATCTGATGATTTACATGTATTTTTTGTTCTTTTTTTATATAATTACTATGATATTATAATAATGATTGTAAAGTATTAGATGAATATGTTGTTTGTAATATGTATTTATTATAATATGACTACAGAGTTAAGCAGGGTATTAGAAAACTCCAAATATATATTATATTGTGTATGTAAAATAAATATGAAGGAAGCTTTAAAAATATATTAACACTATGTTCTCAGACAGTGAAATAGCTTAGTGTGTTAAATGATGCTGTGATGATATATCACTTAAAATCGGGATAAGATATAAAAAAAGTGAAAAAAGTTACCTAACCACTTAAGAACTCAAGTGTTGTTTCACATAATAAAAAAATGAGAGAATTTCATCTCCATCAGTATTCATCTGGGTATTTGTTGACAGGAAACCTTTATATCACGAACCTGAAACCATAAATATTGTCCCCAAAATTAAAGTGATCTTATAATCATCTTTAAACTTACACTTACGTTGAACTTAAAAGCTGGAATCATGATTTATATAACTCGTATGTTAATTACACATCAACATTGTTCTTTTGTTTGGGTTTTTCTTAGGAACAACCCAAACAAAACTATTATAAACAAACCAGCGTACTGTACCTCTCGTATTTTACGCCTTTTAAACGAGGTTAAGTTATTTCAATCTGACAGACTGAATCTTTGTCACTATGATACGCAATACTATACCTAACCTAACCCAGCCTAACCTTACCTGTCGCAAAAAGTTATTTGTATAAAAATTCCTAAAATAATAATTTCAAACAAAGAGATGGTGACGGTGGTGACGGTGTCGACGATGACATACTTAATATATCAGTTGGTAAAAATCAGTTCCATGACCAAGCCAAGGCAGCAGGTTTTATAGTAGCCAAAGAAGCCAAGAAAGTCGAGTAAAGTAGCCAATAGAGGCCTGAAAAAGATCTCCTGTGGCGGGCTGCTCTCCGGATACCTAATTAACGAGGCGGTAGGTCGGTGTGCAGCCAAAATTCAATAGGTTAGGTAGGGAAGGGAAAAAAGCGAACGACCGCCAATGGATAAGGATCGTCTGGCTGGCTGGAGGCTAAATACATCAGGCAGTAACCAACCCATATTCCATGTTTCATTTAAAAAAAAAAATATTTTTTTAATAAATTTTCTCTCTGGGGTTAAATGGGTTTGATAGTTAGGGTTATTAGAGACAAAAATATAGGTGAAGTTGTTCTCTGTGTGATGATGGTGATGGTGATGGTGACGGAGAGACACCATTGAGAAACGAATGTGACCACTGCTTCCCCTCTTCCTTCTCAACCCATGTTCCTCCTCCCATCAGCCTCCTACTTCTCCTTACCCCCCCTCCTTCACCTCCTCAAGCCCCGAGAGTGAGAGAAAGTGAACAAACAAGAAGTAACGATCATGTTTTAGCACCAGAGTGGATATATGTTCGTGTCATTTGCATACATAAAGGGAGGGGATGCGAGAGTGATAGAAAAACAGAGAGAGAAATAGAAAACAATCAAAGGGGAGACAGAGAGAGAGACAACAGTAAGATAAATCAAGATAAAGAAAGGGATAGAAAAAATCACATGACTAGAGAGAGAGAGAGGTGTGTGTGTGTGTGTGTGTGTGTGTGTGTGTGTGTAAACCAAAATAGCGTCGTTGATAACAATACACTTTTTCTTCTTCCAACATTAATTCACAGACAGACAGACGTTCATGGTTGTAAACATCACTTTCACTGAAGTCATGACCCAGAAGTGTAGCAATAAGATGGTATAAGGTGTTGGAGTTAAAGGAAGACATGTGGGGGGAGGTGGGGAGGGGTAGGGGAGGTGAGGTGTAGGGGGAGGTAAGGTAGGAGGTGCAGGGGGGAGGTAAAAGGTAGTGGGGGGGAGGTAAGGTGGGGAGGGTAGGGGGGAGGTAAGGTGGGGAGGATGCAGGGGTAGGGAGGTGTGAGGTAAAGGTAGGGTAGGGGAGGTAAAGATAGGAGGGGAGGGGAGGGGGAGGTGGGGGAGGTGGGGAGGTGGGTGGGGGAGGTGGAGTGGGGATGTGGTGGGGAGGTGGGGTAGGGAGGGATGGGAGGTGGGGTTGGGGTTGGGGTGGGGGAGGTGGGGGATGGGAGTGGGGGGGAGGGGTGGTGGGTGGGAGGGGGTAGGGAGGGTAGGGGAGGGTGGGAGGGTTGGGGTGGGGGAGGTAAGGTAAGGTAGGGGAGGTAAGGTAGGTAGGTTAGGGAGGTAAGGTAGGTTGGGTAGGGTAAGGTAAGGTAGGTAGGTAGGTAGGTAGTTAGGTGCGCCCGTCGTCTGTTCCTGCCTGGGGATGAACTCTACCACCGCGTTTTAAAGGGAATGAATCGTTCTGGCTGGAGAAGTTCCCGACCCTTCTGTCCTGGAAGAAGGAACTGAGACAAATATATCCTTTTCTCTCTCTCTCTCTCTCTCTCTCTCTAACCACACACACACACACGTCTCTAAAACGGGATGGTCTTTATTCTCTCTCTCTCGCTCTATAGCTCACTCTTCACTTCTGGGCAATAGGAGAGAGAGAGAGAGAGAGAGGTGGTTGGTTGGTGATCAGGGAAGGGGGACTCGGTACACACAACCTGCTGAGCGTATTATATTGTTCATGCTCACTAGTTCAACCTTCCGTGCTTGGCTTATTATTGTTTATGGTCTTTAAATTACTGGTGAGCTCTGTGTTAGTATTGTTATTAGGTGAGTTTTGTTTACCTGTTGGTGGTGGGAGGAGAGGTGTGGGGTGCCATGGGGTGTGGGGGGTGAAGGGAGAAGTGGGGTAAATGAGGGGGTGAGGGGTGCCGTGCCAGAACAAGTGTGAATAAATTATACATACCAATTACACGCATCAAGTAGTTTTTTTTACTCATGTACACTCACAAATGTATCAAACACACACACACACACACACACACACACACACACACACACACACACACACACACACACACACACACACACACACACACACCGTTGACAAGGAACATAACATACGGTATTATCTATTCAGTTCGGCCTCCACGCGTGTCTTTAAAGAGTAAAGATGTTTTGCCTCAATCCTCCAGTTTTCCTGCTCCATCCCTCTCTCTCTCCCAAACACCTTCCATCTCCTCTCCCACTACTATAATGGAGACAACTACT